TGGCTTTCTGTGTTTACTTGTGAGTTGTCTGAAGCTTAGGCACCTTGTCTGACAAGATAAAAAGTCAACTGAGGAAGTTTGGCTCCAACCCCAATTAACTACAGGGAGACTGCAGCTGCGGGCTCCACACTCCTACAATAAATACCAACCTCAGCATAAGGTAGTTCTGCTCATTGACATAATTTACTACTTGGGAAAGTTCTCCCAAGGTCCCGCAAGATTCCCATGTTTTCTTGAGTATCCTCCTTTGTTTGAAAACCAAATAAATACGGGCTGCCCAGAGCAGTCTTTGGCTAACTCAGAGAATATTGAAGCTATAAGAGAGTTAGTCCCTCCTGGAGCCCTGAAATCAGTTCCATTGTCTCATTTATTTAAGCCTTCACTGTCCACTCGCTTGGGAGATTGCGGGCCTGATCAGCCTGGAATAACTTAGGGTTATTTAACCTGGCTTTCAATATATATGATTCTGGAACCCCTGCCCAGAGGCACCTGCTGAGTTGAGATCTGGTTCTTGTCACCTCTTCTTCTAGGTGGCAGGTGGAGCTGCAAGATAAAGGTGAGGATACCATAAAGCCGCACCTGCGTGACACTTTGAACTCTCCTTAGCTTTCATTATCCCTTTTCTCCTCTGTCCTCTGTCCCCTGACTTTCTCTCCTCTCCTCTCCTCTCCCCACCAGTCAGCCTCCCTGCTGGAGGCACCAGGGCTCCATCCCACTACCGAACAGATGATCCTTCTGGATGGCCATGTGACAATGGGATCTCTGCCCAGGACACCCCAGCCAGGAGCTCTCAGAAGTGACAGCCTCTCCTCTTTCTCCTTCCCCATCCTCTCCTCCTTCTGGGAAACAGATGCTTCTGGGAGACATCTCTGGGATTTATCTTTTTTGGCTGAGCAACATGTTTTGTTGCTAAAGATGCTGAAATTCTATCTGGGCACCAATTCTCAAACCTTGCAAAATGAAGGATTCCAGAGAATTCCTTGACCTTGCTTCTCCAGGTTGAACAACTTTATCCAAAGGGTGGTTATACAACTTCTCAAATTTATAAGCATGTTCATTTCCAAGCAACCCCTTCAGAACACGTGGAAGTCTCTTCCTGAGAAAGCCGTGCATCTAGGCAGGCTTTAGGGGAAATTGTTCTGTTACCAATGGCTGTGGTTTAGGTAAGTGTCCCCTCAAGGTTCATGGTCCTTTGGGGAGGTGGTGGAAACATTAAGAGGTGGGGTCTAGTGGGAGGTCTTTAGGTCATTGGGGGGGGTGCCTCTCTTGAAGGACATACTGAGACTCCTGGCTCTTCTACTTCCTGTCTTTTTCTTTCTGGCCCTGAGGTGAGCAGTTTCGCTTCACCATGCAGACCTCACCATTGCCAAGTCTTGGCACAACTACCGGAGGCCTAAAAGCTTCCACTCAACCATGGACTGGAACGTCTAAGACCATAACACACAACAAACTTTTTCTCTTTATAAGATGACTGTGTCCCATACTTGTCATAATCATGGAAAGGTGGCTGACACACAGACTATCCCTGGGCAGGAGGGGATGCTGAGCCCCAGGCAGACACAGGAGGACCCAGGATCCCTCCACCCAGCTTCTCTCCTCCTGGCTCCCACTCCACCCTCTCTCCATTCTTTCCACTTCTTTATCAAGGGCAATCACTACTTTGTAGATATAACTGTTTTGGCCTCTCTGTTTCCTGATTCTGGGAGGAAAAAATGTTCTGTGTCCCACTTTCCCTGGAAATCTCCTCCTGGCTTTGTATCTCCTAAACGATTTCAAGTCTGGTGGGTCATGCATATGCAGTCAGCAAGCTGTAGACACTGCCCAACCGCCATATTGCTGGGGCAATACCGCCCAGAGAAAGAGGTCTCAAAACAAAGAATCGAGAAGAGCTGCATGTCTCCCAGGCAGCTGGCGATTGTTCTATACGCTGGATGCTGTGAATGTCGGGGCTCGATTGTATTTCCTTTCTGTGTTAGCGACTGACGGTTTGGGAGGGAGTTTTCTGGCCCTTGCTGCCTCAAATCTAGCCAGGCATGACTTGCCTCATTCTCTGATAGCTTCGTTTAACCACACAGTCACTTTGGCTCCTGGAAAAAGCTTGGGCAGAGCCAACCTTGAGGCCTATTCCCAGGGTAGAGAGTGTACGTACAGAAAAGTCTGCGGATCCAAACAGCACAATAGTTCACAATGGTGCAACGTTGATCAGCACTCAGCTCAGGGGACAGAGTCCCCCAGCCCTGCTCCTTGGGCCCAGGTCACCGTCCCTGAAGGATCGTTGTGGAGGACCACTGGGGTGACTGCTTGAAGGAGGATCAATTGTCTCCATCTGGCTGAGCCTGATCCTATTTCCATGTACTGATATGAACAGAGCTGGCTGGGACTTTTCCTTATCCCCTCATTTGGCTTTAAACAGCGCATATCGGTCCAACCGAGGCACTGATGATAGTCTTTGAAGATGGCAGGCGTGTTTCCCCAGAACCACCCGCCCCCGTTGTTCCCATGTATGAGCCGGGACAACAGCCAATGCTCCACGCTGTCAGCTGGGGTTGAGCCTTGAGATAGAGGCTATGACTTCCTGGGGCTTGAAAGATTACACATCAGAGCTGAAGCACCGACCCCAGAACATTAGACACTATCTCAGTTGTGTTAGGCAGGTTACTTTGTCTGCATATCCTTCTCTCTGCATATTGCAGAGGTGATTTCGGGCCTCCTACCGGCCCAGCTCACAGCACTCACCTACTTCCCGTCATGCTCACAGTCACTCATCCTCAGGGTGCTCCTTTCTTCACAAATTAATAAAACCCAGGCTCAGCCCTGGGTGGAGGCCTTTGTTCCTGATGGCCATCGTTGTGGCTGGACTTACAACCCCTCGGCTCCCCATCACTACAAATACGCCTTAGGGTCTTTATTCTCGCCATGGATTGCACTGGAAGTGGTAGATTGGAATTAACTCACTAGAATTCCAATAACTTTTCCCTGGGATTACAAATATAACTTCCTGGGCCATGAGGAGGACTGGGAAGGGCTCTCTATAGGTAATCATTATCCCAGCTTCCGTATAGCTCTCCGCTTGGTACTTTCTCGATGTGGACTCCTCCTGCAGAACTCTTCCTACCTGGCTTCTCAGCAATAGGCCGTGAGGTACAGCTCCATGGTTGTGTGTGCTTATAGTCCATTCTCACTGCTGAGTGGAAGAGTACTGTGTTAACGAATGATCATTTATTTTGTATTCTACTACTGATGGGCATTGGGGTGGTCTCTGGTTTGGGACTCAGGATGGGCAAGGTGGACTGTCAACCTGCTTGCTTGGGAGTCGCCCAGGGGATTAGGAAACACACCAGGTATCCATGGAGATTGCTTTTTTACTCTCTTATTGGCTCTTTTAGTGAATCCAGGTAAAATTCTATATCCAAGTTTTAATCAACTCCAGTTTATCAACTTTTCTCCTTTTTTGTTAGCATTTCTTGTACCCTCCAGGTAAACCATGGATTCCCTGGCATTCTGCAATTGTTTACTATAATAAAAGCTGGTAGCCTGCTTCATGGTGCACACCTGTAACCCCAGTGCTCTGACAGGCTGAGGCAGGAGGGTCAGAAGTTCTAGCCCAGGCTTGGAAACAGATTTAGACTTAGTGAAACACTATCTTAAAATTTAAAATAAAAAAAGGCTAGGGATGTAGCTTATGCAAAGGCACTGGGTTCAATCTTCAGTACTGCAAAACAAACAAACAAAAAACTCTTATGTGTCCAAAGTGGCTAGCAAAATGGGGCAAATGCAGGCTGAGGAAGAGTATGAGTTAACTACAATTGTGGCCAGTATGGCTGGGGTCCCGGGTATGTCTCTGCAGCGCTCGCTTCTGTGAGCCAACGCCTGCTTACTGGGGACTCTTGCAACTCTTTCTGCCCAGAGCGCCCTCAGTCTGCATGGAGGACAAGCCACGAGTGTAGGACACAGCCCTCACTCCGTGACTCTCCTAGCTCTCTCACTCCTCTGAGGCTAGTGACTGTTTGTTTGTTTGTTGCTGCACTAGGGATCGGATTGAGGGCCTTTGCACTAAACTACATCCCCAGCCCATTTTAATTTTTTTTACTTTGAGTTTGAGACTAAGTTGCCTAGGCAGGGCTTGAACTTCTGACCCTCCCGCCTCAGCCAGAGTGCTGAGGTGGGCACCTCCGTGCCCAGGTGGGATCATAGCTCCATGACAGTAACTTGAAGCAGTGGAAACAATCTGGCGGACCACATGGAATGTGTTAGGAAAGGACTGAACTCTATCTCTATGGAGATATTTCTATTCCCCCGTTAAAGTCTGGAGTTTGAATCCCTGAGGCAGTTCAGGGGGTGGAAATAACTGAGCACAGATTCCAAAAGTCTTGCTCTGCCCCTTCCTAAGGCTCTGGCAGATATCACTGGCTCTTTCTAGACACCCCCCCCCCCATTTTAGTCAGGTCTTGCTAAAATATAGAATCCTGGGTGTCCTTCCTGGTGGTCCAGGACAGGGCTGGGGATTGTATATATTTTCCAACCTCCGGTTGACTATCAGGCTAGGGATCCTTTAAATTAAAAGAGCTGTCTCAAGGGCCCTCAGCCAGCTGTGGTACCACTGAGGGCCCAGCACCATGTGGCAGGTACTAAGGAGACAGGCGCAGCACTCGCGTCGCCCTTGATCACCAAGGTCATGGTTGGACAGCTCTGGGCTGACATCCTGAGACCCCTCGGCCCTCACTAAAAGGAAAGCAACGATCAGAAGAGAAACAAAACTTCACCCAAGAGCCAGAAACCTATTTAGAACAACCAATGGGGTTGTGAAGTAACTTGGGCCAGTTCATGAGAATATTGCTTAACTTCCTCTGCTTTTGTTTTTTTCAACTAGAATATGTTGATTCAGCCTACATAGTGCAGTTGCCCCTCTGCTCGTCCTGGGTGATATTTGGTCCGTGGCCACGACCTTCCCTTGGGGAGTGCCTTGTGCTGCTTTGGTTGGATCGCTAGAGCCACTTTTGTTTTCAATCATAAAATTCTCCAGAATTATCTTCAGGGACCGCTCAGCCTCACAAAAGGGGAGTGGACAGGAGGGACTTGGGAGATCTCAGCTCACGTAGCCATGAGGAGCTCCCACCTGCTCTTTCCCATTCTCCTGGCCTTGTTGCTGGGTGGCCACCGTGCAGCTGCCACACATATGTAGCTGTCCCGGGCCCTTCTGTTCCTGGGCTCCTTCCCAGGAAGGACGTCTCCAGATAGCCCCCTCTCATTGTTTTGAAAGGAGGCAGTGACATAGCCGAGTTCTCTGCTTTAACTAGAGCGCTAAGATGCTGCCTTGGAGCTGGGTGCATTTGTACGAGCTGACCAGGAGCAGCTGCTCCCAGCAGGCTGTCATGTAAGTATCACCCAGGGGCTCTGCACCAGCTGCGTCATTAAAGGGCAGGTGCTGGGCAGAGCCCACAGTGGCAGGGTGCACTTTGGGACGGGAATCTGGGAATTCCCTTACCCTGCTTTTGCAACAGCATATGTGACTCTTGTACCACGTGCCAGGCCCTGTGCCAAGGGCTGGGTATAAAATAACTATGGTGGTGCATGCCTGTAATCCCTGGGTTCAATCCCCAGTGTGGGGAAAAGGAAGAGAAAGAAAAGAAGGAAGGAAGGAAGGAAGGAAGGAAGGAAGGAAGGAAGGAAGGAAGGAAGGAAGGAAAGAAAAGAAAGAAAGAAAGAAAGAAAGAAAGAAAGAA